AACCGTGCCTTGCTGGAGGAGGATCGGTGTTTGCTGTCAAGTAATAGTTTGCAGAAGAGTTTCTGGACAGAGGTTTCGACAAATTTGGGTCATCCTATTAAAGAGTTGTCAACTGCTGTGATTGGAGGTAAAACTCTATTGGAAGATAGGTCTGGTAGTGTCACTTTGGTTGAGGCTTCGATGAGGAAGCCAATTGACTCTCAGCAGGTGAAGAGTTTTGGACAGACCTTAGAGGTATCGCAGCGGGTGGAGACTGATGCTACTCCACATTGGGTGGAGATTTTCCCACATACTCCAGGTCATTCTGCATTGGTTGAGATTCCAGCTGAGGTGACACAGCATGGAAGTCATTTGGATTCGGATGCAGATGATGAGTTGGGTTTTGACTCGAGTGCAGCTGATAGATGCAGTTTGGATATGACCATTGGTTCACCTCAGGTGGAGGTGTTTGAGGCCATTGGAGGTGCTATCAGCCGCAGAGTTGATAATATTAGAGAAGGGTTGCGAACTCTTCTATTGGTTTGAGGTCGTTCGCGGCCATTTGGGTGAACTACGTTCGGCTTGATTCCTTGGGCAAGAGGATACGTAGGCAGTCTTTATGATGCAGTCGGGTTTGATTTGATGGGGGTGAGATTGATTTGGTTAGTAGACATCGACGTTTGGGAGAGTGTTCGCACTCCCGTTTGGGTTCTCGACTTGTTGTGGATTGAGTTCTTACTGGACACAACAAGTGAGACATTTGGTTTGGTTGGTGTCGGCTCAGTTTTGGGAAAACTTCGCCGAGGTGGAGAATTGTTGGGAGACATGAGTTGTGGCCACATGAACCACGTCTACATGAAGAGAAGTGGACGTGTTTTCATCAGTGAACGAAGTGGGAACATGAGCCCATGATGTGATAGTGTGGGGACCACGAATTTTGTGTGAAGAGATAGCAGGTGGACAAAAGGAGTTTTTGTTAACGCGTTTTCTCCCCTAACGCGTTATCCAACCACGCGAATATCCAGCGGACAAAACCCGAGCCCACCCAATTGCTTGCTGCATATAAATACACATTGGTTTCTAGGTTTTTGTTGGGTGTGCGAAGGAAGGAGGAAAAAGGTACAGAACAAAAGAAAAAGGCACAGAACAAAAGAAAAAGGCGGCTGAGAGCAAAGAGGGGCTGGGTGCAGGTGAAAAGCAGGGCAGCGTACAGAGGTGTTTGGCGGCTATTCACAGAGAAAAAGCAAAGTCCTTTTGCAGCTGTTCTTTGATTTGTGTATCTATTTGAGAGAGTATTTGTGTGAGGGATCTGAGAGTTTATGAGAGGGTTTAGATTGAGTGATTGTAAACCCTAGTTGTGTTCTCTCCCTCTAATAGTAGATCTCCCCCTCCTTGCCCCGTGGACGTAGGCAGTTGCCGAACCACGTAAAATTGGTTTGTTTGAGTTTGTGGCCATTGTAATAGTTATTAGGATCCCTCGACGCGCAGTCCTAGAGCTGACGAGAGGAAGAGCTAATATCCCACTTTGATGGGATATTAGGCTTCAGATTCTTGTTCCCTTTGAGAAACAAGAATTTTTATCGATTTTTCTCTCTTATTGTGCACCAGAAACTCTGCCGAAATTTCCGCTGCGCACAACACAAAACTAGATTAGACAATAGGCTTATAAACATGAGAACTAACAAACGTGAGCAATATCTTTTCCATATGAGGTAATCATGAGACATCCATACTCTAATAGTCATTATCTTTTAACTTTTTGTCTAAGATTTGGTTTTATTGTGAATAAAACAAACTGTAGGCACATCCGTAGTTCGTTTATTATATTTGTTCAAGAACTCCCTTCCTTTTATCCTATTATCAAGTAATAGCATCATGCTGTCCGTGATTTCTTAGACATATTTATTATTTTATAAATTAGAGTGAGTGTATGGTTTCTAGCCTTTCATCATAACAATTATTTTGTAAAACCCAGCCTCAAAATATGTCCTGATTTCATTTTAAATTGTTATAACTGCAGATCATTTCTCTGACATATTTTTTGGAGTAAACTATAATTGGCATATTCTCCAGTGCATTCTCTTGTTTTTTTCCTCCCAGGAACCTGCTTATATCTTTATAGATCCATGTTTCTCTTAGATACTTATGATTAAGATTATTTTCTAATTTCATGTATTGGATAAACAAGCAAGAAGTGAGAATTTTATATGGAAAAGTTGATATAAAACTTAAGTTACTGCCAGTTATACTTATACCAGTGTTCTCAAATCATTCAATAATCATTTTTTTCTGAAAGTTTATCAATTAATTTGTTGGGGTGGTGTTTTTTTTTTGGTTTTTTTGGTAGGGGGGTTGGGGGGGGGGAGCTTTACCTACTTCTTAATGTTTCATTTTCAGTCTTCTGCACCACACATTTTATGGCTTTCATACGATAAATCACATATATTTTATTAGTTATCTAGTTGTCTAGTTTTCTGAAAGAGATATTGAAAATGAACATTAAAGTTTGCTTGTCTAAGCTAATTCTTCTTCCAAACTTTCTCAGAAAGTTACCAAGGACTAACTGTAGCTGGTTGAAAGCTGTGAGTTTATACTTAGATCAATAACAACCGACACATGGAGATGAAGAAGTTTAAAATATTGCATATCATCAAGAATATTAAATGACAAATGATGACAAACAGATGAGCTTTGTAATATTTATTTCTTCCACAAATATATAGCATGAAGATAAGGGTGATTGATTTGTTAGATCACAGATGTTTCATACAATTCTTGCTTTTCATGACTGGGTGAGAATTTTGGTCCCAAATATTAGTTTAAAGGTGAATTACTAACTATTTACTTAGAATGTATGCTAATTGGAAGTAAAGTTTCTTAGTGAAATGAGAGCATCGGGAAGGGTGGCAAGCAAAGTTGCGTGGGTACGAGTACTGGTACAAATATGTGTATGGGACACAACAAATTCGTAAAAGGTAGGGTAGGAGGACACGGCTATATATATATATGTATGTTATGTATATTTATATGTATTAAAATTAAGGGTTTTTGTGATATAACATCCCCAAATCTTCTCTATTTCTATACTAGACCCTCAAACCTTGGTATTTTTAAATGAGACATCGAAATTCTCTAAATTGTTTCAGAAAAGACCCCTTTGGTTAAATTTAACCTTAATTGCCAAATTTCTCTATTATTGGATATTTTTATATAGAGACCATTATGTCCATGCTCATACAAGATTTATCACATTTGAATTGCTTTTGTTCTTCTTCCTCAACTCATTTTTCTCTCAAATTCCTCACATCCATTGTGTCTCTCTCTCATCTTTCTCCTCAAGTAATTTTCTTCTCTCTCAAACTCCTCATATCCATTCTCTCTCTTTCTCTCTCTCTCTCACACACACACACACACACTCACTCACTCACTCTGTCTAACACATTTTTATCCTTCAATCATTTTCCCTTTCTCCTCAAGGTTCCTCTCTCACACTCACCCTCTCTCGCAATCTATGAGATTGGATTCTTAAGGCCTGTTAGGGTGTGAGATTTTGAAAGGAAAATAGAAAAAATTGGGGAAAATAGAGTAGAGAGGCATAGGAATTGAGAAACAAAGGTAAAGGGAGAATTGGCTTGGCTCCTAAGGGTTATTATCATAATTTACCCAAGGGTTATTATCATAATTTACTCTATATGTTTAAGAGTTAACCATGCTTAGGTAAAGAATTTGGACGGAAATATTTCATGGGGTCTTTTTTGAAACATCTTAAAGGATTTGAGGGTCTTATTTAGAAATACCAAGATTTAGGGCTCTAATATACAAATAGAGAAGATTTGGAGGTCTTATATCATAAAGACCCTATAATTAATAATACATCAGATCAATAATGTTTTTTGATTCACATAAGATCAATATATAAGAAATAGATTTGAAGTGTTGATATACATCGAAGAAGTGTACAAGGAATGTTTTAAATTAAAACATGCATTATAATTGAGTATACCCTTGAATAAACGTATGCACATATCCAAGAAGTGCCCAAGAAGTTTTGGTACTGATACGGCTTCCGATAGAAGTACCCAGGTAGCATAGGTGACAAGTGTCCTGGAGAACATAACTACTTGGAGAAGTAAACTATTTTGAGACTTGTCTCTGCTGCACCACTCTCTTACGAGCACTCACCTTCAGACCCCCTTGCAACCCTCATAATAACAATAACAAACTGATGGCGATATTTTAGGTTGCTGAATCAATGTGAATATTGTTTCAGACAAGAAAGTGTTAATATGTGGATGTTACCCAATTCCTTGTGTTAAATACGAGGAAGATGATTGTGATTTCATGTCGGAATAGTGACAGATGATTCTAAGCATGCAAGAAACAGAAGGGACAAAGGTCATGATAACTAACTTTTTTATTGAGGTAGCCACATACAGAAAAACTGATAGGGTCTACAGTTATTTTGGTCATATGTAATAGCTAATGGAGTCTATAGTTATTTTAATTACAGTACAAATTTTGCAGCAAATGTAGAATTATGTCAAGGCAATGATTGAAGTCATTTATCACTGTAGACAGTTATTCGGGTATCGGATAGTAGGACTGTGGATTTTTTTTTTGCATCTCTAGCATTCAAAAGCTAAATATCTTTTTTTGGGCTTTCTTTAGTGAATAGTTTACCTTTTTGGTCAACTGGAGGAATATTATTTATATATCATCGAATGATGAATGCTATCCGATTTTTCTGAGAAAATTGTTATGTATAAAGAAGCGTAATGAAGGTACCTACTAGAATTTTTTATGGGCATTATCTGTGCTTACAACTTACAAGAAAAGCTGTAGATGTACCCACTACTCTAATGCAGATTTTGTTGTTTGGCTTAATTACTGCAATTTGGAAGTTTTGCTTCTCTTCTTTTCTTTTATGTCTTTTGAATATTCAAATCTCAGAAGATGTAAAACTCATTGTCCTTTCCTTTAGCTATGCTGATAGTAATAAAGCTTTGTTTATGCTGTTGCAGACGTAAGGGGGCATACTGCAAGTTCCATTCATCAGTAAGAGTTCTTATTCAATTGTGATTTAATATTGGACCACCAATATGCCTGCTTGATTAATATTTTCTAACCTTCATTGCTATTTAGAGATCATCTCTGTCTCAAAGATACTCCACCACTCGTGCTGAGCTCAAGGGTGGGTAAGTGTATTATTTTACTTTGGTTCTTTTAGTTTTTCTTATCTTCTCTTGAGAAAGATGGATAAATTAAGGTTGATTATAGCCCAAAAACATTTTTACTTTTACCTTATAATGACTTTCTTTCTTCCTATTTCCTTCTCCTTTCTTAGTTGGGGGTCCATGTTTTTAAGTTTCTTAGCAAACACACGTGTTTTGATTATTTTGTCAAGTTATCATTTGTTGTAATTTATGTTACCTTTTTCTTTTTAATGTATTATTGTTTTCCAGGAACATAAAAATGCCATATAAATTCCAGCCAGGGGGTCAATTTCAGCCAGAGGGTATTTACATGGTCGACCCTCTGGCAAACAGATCAAATAAGAGAAACTCCGCGCAGCCAGTTAAAATGTTGTCGGTGGATGGACTTAAGAAGGCTCTAAGGTGTGCCTTGAATTCTTGAAATTTAATTTGCTTCTTTGCAAAGTTAGTTCTAATGCTTCTCTTTAATACAATGGGAACCATATAAGCATTGTTTTAAATATTCACAAGATGATCAGCGTTATTGACTGACATATCCTTTTAAAAGGCTTGCCGCAAAACGATACGGTCTTAAATTCCTCGACCGCTTTTGGCAATTTTTCGGCAATATCATGATTTTCCCGATATGTGAAGTGACATTTTGTCCTTAAAGAAATCGGCCAAAATGTTGTAATGTGATTTGGACTTTTATTTGTTTTAAAATATTGGTTTGGATTTATGGTTCAATTGAGGGTAAAACCAACAAATATTTGCTGATGTAAATAACTGATTATAATAATTAGAGCTCTATTGAGAACAAATTCTTTTGGTTTCGCAAAAGAAACCACCTTTCTCCTCCATTCTTTGGTGCACCAAGTGAACATTTACAATACACACATGCACGCACACACATTATTCGACATGACGTCCCGGGATTTATGAAATATGTCCTATATATCTCCGATATTTTCCATGCAATGTGGAGTTTTTCCCTCTGGCATGTGCCTGGTATATTCAGAATACTGCTTATAAGTAAAAGAGTTCTATTTCCCAACTTCATGTTCCAGCTCCTTCTATTACATCTGTTATTTAAGCTGATATCTCTACAGTCTCACAACTCTGAGTACTATAAACAAGCAGCCTCTAGAACGCTTACATGAAAGTCTGAATTCTTCTATACAATAGCTTCTTAAACTTTCTAAATCAGCATGAGGAGTGGCAGTGCACAGTAGATGCAGAAAATGTATTGTTCATCAGAAACTGAAACATAATTTAATTGATTTTGCGGAATCTTTGACCTCTATGCTTAAATTTCAGGGACATAGCAAATCATTTCTTTAGTGGAATTAATCTTATTCAGCAGTTGTCAGATATTTATAGCTGCTCCAATAAGCTCCTTAAAGTACCAGGGTAGGCATTCAAATTCTTATTTGGAGTAGCACTCAGTAAATTTGTACTGCTGAGATATTCCCATTTACTATTTTCTCAAAATAATAGCTAAAATTATAGATATTTGTTTTTTTAATGAGATGAGTAATATTCTGTAAGTGAGATGTTGTCTTGACTTCTAACGATGGATCAAACATTTGATAAAGGAATTCTTTTTTTGGAGTTTCTTTAGATCTAAATGAGCTAAGGCTGCTCTTTTGCTGATTATTGTTGCAATATCTCATGCAATAAGCACATTTTATTGTAATATTTTTCCTTCACACGAAGTCATTATAGATATTAGTACTTTCTACATTGCCTGCTAATATTTACATATCTGATTGAGGACAATGATGAAGGTTTGACTAAATTATGATAAAATCATACAAAGTTTTAAGAATCCCTGACATGTTTTCTTTCTTTTTTCCTTCTCATGTGGTGAAGGTTGGAAAGTTCTAATATCATGTATAATGCACCTTAGCTGATGCTGTACTACTTTTCAAAATGATATGTACTTTGATTAATAATTTAATTTCATAAGTAGAAAGCTATATTTACTTATTACATAGAATTTTACAAACTTGGGTAGTAGATGAAATGAAAATTTGTGTTTTTTAGCAACGATTAAGCTGTGTTTTTTTCTCTCTCTCCAGATGATGGTATTTTTATTTTTATTTCTATTTTTTACTTTTATTGATTCTTCTCAATTGATTGGAATCCCACTATTTCACAAAGCTCGGATATTTTTTTCCAGCTTTTGTTTTTTAATCCTTTTTATTGATCCTTCTCAGTTGATTGAAGTTCCATTATTTTTTATTCTTGCAGCACACCACTTATTGCTTCTTTTCTGAATGTCAAATGCAGATTATTCTTGCCATTACATGAGAAAAGCATTGTTGGATGACGAGTTTTTTAGTTCATTAGTCATTTAAATAGTTGTGCAAACAAAGCACAATTAGGTGTATTTTTGATCTGATATCGAACTATTTTCTCAAGTGTTGTTTTTGGTATCACTTTGGATCTAGCATTTCAAACAGTTTTTAGCCTAACTAGTATCAGCCTGTATATGTATGTTTAGAAATGTTATTTGCTATAATACCGAACTTTTGTAGTGTTTGTTGATGTACATGTTATTATTATTATTATTTGGGAAGTCCATATCATCATGTCTAAATTATGCATATAATTCATTGATATAATATTTTGACTATAGATTATATTATTTCGTGTTCTCCCTATTTCAAGCATCACAAATAGGTTCTGATTTCATTTATATGAGCAGCAAAGCAGAAAATGTGACCACCAATAGCCGATCGCAAGGAATAAGATTTCTTTCACATCTCACCGGTACAAACTATCTTCCTCCCTTAATTTCATAATTACTGCCACATAAGCTTACTATATATCTAATCTTGCAATTACCAGCCAATGTAGAGACAAAAGCAGCAGGTAAAGCATGTGCGAAGCCACTCCAAGCTAGAAATAATGCAGGAGTAAGGTAATGGCTTAATGGATTTGGAGAGTATTTTGTTATTCAATCACTCCCTTGGATTGTTGTCTTAAATAGATTTAACCAAGCTTATATTTTCCCCAGACTGTCATCGGCTACAGAAGTAGCTTCAAATATTTCAAGAGAAAGTAAAGCATCAGGAATTAACAGGCCTTCAGTAGCTACAAAAGTAGCTTCAAATATTGCAAGGGAAAATAAAGTTTCGGGGACCAAGCGAAAGAACAATGAGACTTCTGTGAATATGATTGAGCTCGATATTGTTAGTTCAGATGAAGAAAGCTGATAATGATTGGTATAAATGTTGTATAACAAAAAAGGTCGTTGTCTAAATTTTGCAGCTAATTTACGTTTGTATAATGCTGTAGTCCTCCTGTTAATTCCTGCAAAGGGATTGACTAAGTGGCGGTAGAGATCTAAAGCGATAGGTCTAAACCTGTCGACATTACTATGATAGACATATGGTTTCATCTGTATATTTCATAATTAGCATCCTTCATTTTGTACTTGACTGTTGGTGTTTGGTTATCATTACTTGGTTGAAATTTCTGTTCACCAACCTTGAGCCATTGTTAATTTTCATTATTTCTGTTGAAGTTGTTGAGCTTGTTTGAGTATATAGTGGGGTGTGTAAATCTAAAAATATGGGAGATTTGAAGGGCATATATACACAAATTCCTTAAATTTTGTGCTCAAAACTCATCGATGACGATTTGTTATTGTCGCACTTTCATATCAGGATGTAGATGCGTAAATCTTGGGATCTATTAAGTGGACCGTTGGTTTACCTCAATACCAAATTTGGTTAGAACATGTAGAAGAGGGTAGAGGTTGTACTTCTATGGAAGCGACCTAGAGAGTGCGGTGATGAATCAAGGGCTAATTAATAGTCCATCCAAAACTTTATTTTTTGATATGTGCATACAAGGATAAGCTTACCTTAGCATAATTTTGGTGCACCATTAATCTACTTAACACTGAGCAGTGAAATAGTTTTGGTGGCTCATTAATTCTTTTGACCCTATAAATG